GCGATGAAGTCACAAGCAGAGGAGCTGGATAGACAGAGGAGGTAGGGAGAAGAGAAGGCAGGAAGAGAAGGCAACTTCTGAGCAAACAAAGCTCTCTAACACAGAAAAAGGTCTGGAAAGCCGATGAAGCAACAAAAAGAGGAAGAAAGATGGGGGAGGGATGGTTAGGGAAGGAAGGGAAGGGAAGCAGAGTCACCTTTGGGCAAGTTACTCCCAGTTCCCTATTGTTTGGGCAGTTTTGTTTCAAGCTTGAAAGCCTGGCTGGTGGATAGGGAGGCAATGTCTTTATAAAGTTGCCAGTGTATATGGCCCAGGGCCTGGCATATCATTCAGGTTTATGGCTTTGTCAAGCCCTGGTGCAAAAGAAAAAGCAGGTAGATTTAGTGTCAGAAAGACCTGGATTGGAATCCTGCCTCTGGAAAGCATTATCTGTGTGACCTTGGCCACCTCACTGAATGAACTTCTTTGGGCCTCAGTTGACTTATTTGTAAAATGAGGGGGTTTGACTAGGTAAACACTAAAGGATCCAGCCAAGTCTAAACCCTATGATCCTATAAGCCTCTAATACAAGGGGTTCTAGCCTGGTGCGCTACTGTAAACCCTGCGACAGGGGAGGCTGAGGCTGGTGGACGGATCCCCTGAGCTTGGGAGCTCAGAGCCACAGTGCCTTGCAAATCATTTAGTCAAACTCCCTTATTTTTCAGATCAGAAAACTGAGGCCTAGGGAAGCTGAATGCCTATGGGCACAATGTCACAGAGACAGTAAAGATTCAGACGAAGGTCTTCAAAGTCCAAATTGACTGCTAAACCTCTTCCAGACTCAATTTCTTCATCTGTCAAATGATGATTAAACACAAAATAAAACACTTTCTGTACTATACCTCACCTCACAGGGTAACTGTGAGAATCACATGAGATAATGGATGTGAAAGCACTTTGAAAATGACTAAAATAAGGTGTTATTTTTAGTTACGTTGGAAATTTGGCTTCCTTTCTCCTCTACTACACCCATGGATGGGAGTGTTCCCCAGAACTTACTGCAGTGTGGGGCATGAGGTTCAGCCGGGTGATTTTAAAGCCTTCAAATGAACATTGGATACGGATTCTTCTTAGAGCGTCCCAAGGAGCATGTGCTGCTCCCTCCTTGGGCTTTGTTGTTGCTTCCTATATACAGTGTGTGTACATATAAAAACACACACGCACATACACGTGCATACATATGCAGACATATGCACACACACAGGTATAATACAACATACATGTGTGTATTTATAGACATATACGTATGTGTATGTATACATGGGTATATCCCCTTTCTGTACCTGCCTATATAAGCTGTCCCCCATGGCTAGCATGTGCTCCATCTTCACCCCTCCCTTTCAATATCCCCAGTTTCCTTCTAGGTTCAACTCAAGCATGACCTACTTGAGGGACAATGCAGGCTGGCCTGCCCCAAATGTACCTAGTTGTTAACTGTGGCTGGTCCCACAGGCCTCATCCCTAGGCCCTTTTCTTTTCTTCCTCTATACTACCTCACTTGGGGATCTCAGCAGCTTCCATGGATTCAATTATCACCTCTATGCTGAAGATCCGCAAATCAACTTATCCAGCCCTAACCTCTAGGTTGACCTCCAGTCTAGAATCGTCAATCACCTGTCCTGTAAACACTTAAACTCAGCACGTCCACAAATGAACTCATCTTCCCCTCCCACACCCTCCCCTCTTCCTAACTCCCCTATTAGTCATCCTTAGTCCCCAGGCTCACAACCTAGGTGTCATCCTCCACTCTCTCTCTTTCTCTCTCTGTCTGTCTCTCTCTCTGTCTTTCCATCATCCAATCTGTTGTCAAGACCTGGCAGTTTTACCTTGTGAAACGTCCCCTTTCTTCCTCTTGACACTGCTACCCTCTGGTGCAGACCCTTATCACTTTATACCTGGACTATCAAAATAGACCGCTGATGGCTTTGTCTGCCCCAAATCTACAAAGCCATCTCCCTAAAGGTGAATCTTCCTATCACCTCCTGGATCAAACACAAAATCAGAGCCCTTCATCACCTGCCCCGCCCCCATACTTTGGGATCACTGATGCTGCAGTAGAATGTAAATCTCTGAGAGCAGGGCCCAGTTCATTTCGGGTTGTTGATCCCAAACCCGCGCAGTGCCTGACACATAGGAAACATCCAATAAATGCTTGCTGGCTAAGATATAGGGTGTCGTTGCAGGAGGGGCCTTAGAACACAGGCTGCCTTGTACATGGTATAGAACTCCCAGTGGGATGCAGGTTCTCTGAGGGCGCCATTCTTTTGTCCAGATACACTCAGACCCAAGCAAAGCACCTTGTACACAGGAATAGGGACTTGGACCCTCTGATTTCATTGGCAGAGGGAACTCAGGATGGGGACGCTGTCTCTGTTAAAGCAAGTCAACCCTTGCTTTGTAACTCAGAGTCTGAGAAGTTGCCTAGGACGTTGAGAGGAAGGCCATGCTCTTGAACCCAGGTTTTCCAGGCCCCACAGGCATCTGCAGGGCCCGTTCTTGCACACAGCAGGCACTTAAGGCACTTAAGAAATGCTGCTTGAATTGAATTGGATCCCACATCAAAAGATGTAAGGTAATGGAATAGGATGTCAGATCTCCAAGGGGTCTCAGAAGCCAGCTGGTTCAACCTTATTTTCCCATGGAGAAAATGGAGGTTCAGGAAGGAGTAATCACTTGTCCAAAATAACACATCAGTCTCCTGACAGCGCCAGGGTTAAGGTTAGAAAGTGGGCTCTTTCTGAACCTATTACTTCCCATAATGCTTTGCTCCCTGTAGGGAGTGGGGGGAATGTTGCTTAGCTCTGAAGTGAAGACAGGATCCATCCACGTGAGAGTTTCTCTCTCTCCTTCCTCCCTTGTCTTCTTCCCCTGTCCCACGAGGGATCTAGGGTTCCCCCGAAGGGGCCAAGATGAAGAATCTACTTGAAAGTGCTACACCCTAATTCTTACCCAGATTTCTGCAGGGTAAAATCCCAGAAGTATGGTTGGGAATAGTGAGCCCCACAGCCCGGTGGAGCCACACGGGGAGCAGAGGCGGGTGTTATTTTGATATAAAAATCCTACATCTCCAAGTTTATTTTGAGCTGAACTGGAATTCCCCGTTAAATGTCTCCCCATCTGCCTTCTCCCAGGCCTGAACCACCCCCCCCCCCCCGATTCCTCTCTGTTCCTGCCTCACTAAACACATCGAGAGAGAAGAGAGAGAGAGAGAGAGAGAGAGAGAGAGAGAGAGAGAGAGAGAGAGAGAGAGAGAGAGAGAGAGAGAGAGAGAGAGAGAGAGAGAGAGAGAGAGAGAGAGAGAGAGAAGCACAGCACACACACCCTAACCCACACACACACACACAATCTTTTGCCTCCCTGCCCCCACAGCAACCTCAGTCCAAATTGCTAGGGCTGTGGGCCCTTCTTAATCCCTCTGGCTCAGTCCTTCCACATTCCTGCTCCTTATCCCCTCCCCACCACTAGTCTTCCTCCCTGCCCCAAGAGCCTCCTCCCCCATGCCCCAGACAGACAGACAGACAGACAGACAGACAGACACACACACACACACACACACACACACACACACACACACAGAGTCTATCCCCTCAGGGAAAGGGGGTCAGGACCCTAGTAATTCTGGAATCTACCCCAGAAACCTAAAACCCACCCCATGTGTGCCTGTCTGCAAGATGCTTGCCAAAGAGAGAAACAAAATGAAGAAGAAAATTCCCTTCCCATGACAATCCTAATTAGCACATAGGATTTGGGGTCTTTCCAATGAGTACAAGCATGCCGTGAGCAGACAGCTGTTCCTTGGCCTTCTGGGACCCTCCTAATCATCCTCTCCACAGCACCAGCCCTCCCTCCCTCCCTCCAGCAGCTGGGCTTCCCAGTTTCCTAAATTGCACTGGGCTGCAACCTCAGGCAGAATTCTCCCACAGAAGGGGCTAAGGGTGGATTACTCCCTTAGTCCTCTAATTAATCAGTTAACTCTTGTGAATGATGCATTGCTCCAGAGAGCCAGGCTTGGGGAGAGCTCCTCACTTCTGGTCAGTCCCCATGCCCAGCAACGCAGCTCCCTCCTGACCGCTAGCTCCGGGTCCTACTTAAGCCAGTGTGGCCAGAGACTTGGCCACAGATTCTCCAAGTTGCCAGACCCCCAAGTCCCCGGCCCCAGCCTGAAGGTTTCCTCTCTACTTTCCCTCTCCCAGAGACTTTTCCTCAAGCAAACTTGTCACCTGAAGGATGTTCATTCCGGGAAAACAAACCCATTTTCTCACCAAAAGAGGGAGAGTCAACTCCTGAGAATTCAGGGGTGGTATTCCTGGGGGAATGGAGAAAGGGCGATACCCAGGATCTTTCTCTGAAAGAATGTGCCTCCTGCTGCTGCTGCCAATCCCCAGCTGGCAAAGTGAATGAGCTCCCCTAGCCTGGCATCTCTCACCAGCCTTCTTCCTCCTCCTTTCTCCACCGCGCCCTCCCACCTCACCCAGCTCTTTCCCCCATCTGCTCCAGGCTGCGCTTTGGCACTCTCCGGTGCTGAACCCCAGCCCCTGGGCACGGAATCCCGAGGCATCTCCGCTATTCCACCATGCCTCCTCTGGCCGGGCCCCCTTCTCCCCGAGATGCCCCGGAGGAAGAACGTGAGGCTCCCGGGAATTCCATCTTCTCCCAAGTTTGTTCCAGACCTGGGAGCCGACAGAACAGAGGGCTGGTGGAGCCCGCAGCGGGGCAGAGCGCTGGGGGGGCCAGGGCTGTCACGGCGCAAGGAGGGGCGAGCGCCAGCTGGGGGGAGGGCTGGAGGGGGCAGGAAGGGAGGGGGCAGTGTGGCAGCTGGGGGGGGCGGCCGGAGAGGGCAGGAGGGGAGGGGGCAGTATCAGCTGGAGGGGCGGCTGGAGGGGGCACTGGCAGCTGGGGAGGGGGTGGCCGGAGGAGGCAGGAGGGGAGGGGAGGGCTGACAAGGGAAGGGGGGGGCTCACCCGTGTCCTGCCGGAATTGGTGCATGGACTGCAGGTCGATGATGTAGGGCGACAGGCGGCTGTCCACCTGGCCCAGCACCACGCTGCCGCCGCCGGCGCGGGGCCCCCCGGCCCGGATCACCGCCTCGATGTGGTGGCTCACGGCCGGGCTGTAGGGTCTCCAGCGGCCGTGCTCGTTCAGCCATTCCCAGACCACCACGGCCGAGGCCAGCAGCATGACTGGCGATCGTGGGCCCGCCGCCGCCTCCGCGCAGCCCCCCGGGAACGCCTGGGCTGGGTCGCTGGCCTCAGCTCCTCGCCATGGGCCCGGGGCGCGCCCCGCATCCACCCGGGCCGCCGCCGCCGCCCGCCGAGCTCCGCCGCCCCAAGGGGGCCGGAGGCTTCATGCAAATCTCCGCAGCTCGGCGCCGCGGGCCCCGCCTGGCCCCGTCACCGGGCGCCGCTGCCGCAGGGCCGGCCGGCCGAGCCCGGACGGGGCAGGGGCGCTCTGGCCGGCGGCTCCGAGAGGGCTCGTGCGGGCGCTGCGGGCCCGGGCACCAGTTGCGCCTCCTCTGCGGATGCCCGGCCGCCGGGGATCTCGCCGAGCCGGCCTGCTGCCAAGTGCATGCTCCGGCGGCCGGGGCGGGGTGGGGGCTGGCCACCCCTCCCCCGTGGGTCCCCTCCTTCTGCCCGCCCTCCCGGCTCGGGTCCTCGTCCTCCCCCGTACCCCCTCCCCTAGCCACCTCCCTCTCCCTCCCCCTCTCTGGCCCCTCCTCCTCTGCTGGCCCCCCTCCCCTTCGCCTCTCTCCCCCGGCCCCCTCCCCCTCCCCCTCCCTTTCCCCAGCCGCAGTCGCGGTTCCGCCCCCTCCCCAGGGCCTGCGCTGAGCTTGCTCTCCTTCCCAGAGAATCCCCCTTCTTGGGCTCGGATCCAAAGCCAGGGACAAATGCTAGGCGCCCCCACCCTAACCCGAGATGGCCGCCCTCTCCCCAGCTAGGCATTCCCCCCCGCCCAGAAAGGTGCTTCCCCCCCCCCCGCAATACACCCTCTGCTTTCTTTCATTTTCTTGCTTTTGTTAATTTATTTTTCCATTTAAAAAAATGCATTGACATTGGTGTCAGCTGCACGAGCTGTCGGGAATGCAGGGGCTCCGGCTCGCGAGCGCGCGCACACACACAGACACAGGCACAAGCGCGCGCACGCCCCCCTTCATCCTTCTCCTATTACCTCATGCCCGGCCCTAGTCCGGGAGCCTGTCCATCAAGATCGCCTAGGCAACGCCCCCTTCCCCACCCCCCCCTGCCCCTAGCTCCCGCTACTCGCGTGGTTCCCCAGAGCCCAACCGCCACCTGCTGGCCCCTAAGGGAGCAAGCCAGGGAGGGCCTGACCTGGTCCTCCCTGAGCCGGGGTGTCCACACCTGGCATGCCAGGGATGGAAGGTACCCTTAACCACCGGAATGACTTCTTTCTTCCACTATTACCTCCTTCTTGAAATGAACTGGTCTGGGGATTAGACGTCTGGCCTCTGACAATACTGGCTGTGTGACCCTGGGCAAGTTACTTAACCCCTCCGAGCTCTGGGCAGCTCTTAGACTTTAAACTGTACAAAATACTGCTCTGCACTGGTGTCAATGAAGTATTTATTAAATGCCTACTACGAGCATATATCCCTGTGGATATAGGTAAAAGAATGAAACAATCCCTAGGAGCAATGAGCCCACATTCTCTCTAATGGAATCCATAAAATCAGATATTGCATAAAAGGAAGTGAATAGAGCTGAGGTTCAGCACCAGCTGGTTGGGATAGGGAGAGAGGTCAGGCCAAAGATGGTGATAGGAGAGCTACAGGCATCTTCAAAGCAGAGTTTCCAGGATGGGAGCCGTTGAGCGCCATTCCCTCGGCCACTAGAAGCACCTAGCCATACATGCTGTATATCTCCAGGAGGATTCAAGCTCCTTGAGGCAGGCACTGGTAGGACTTTTTTGGTCTTTCAGCCCTGAGGAGTTGGCATGAAAGAAGGGTAACTTCTGGACATCCATGTGCTCTACTCCACTGGCCCTCTTAGTCTTCAAGAGTTGCTTGGGTCACCTCAGCACTGGTCACAGACCTAGTATGTGTCAAAGGCAAGATTTGAACCCAGGTCTTCCCGATTCCTAGGCAGCCATTCTATTTACTAGGATATACTGCCTTTAAGTGTTCAAATCGTTGCAGAAATACTGGTCGAATTTAATGTAGTTGCATCCAGATCCCTCATTTAATGCATGGGGAAACAGGCCAGAGAAGAGAATCATTTTAACGCAGCTGATAAATGGCACAGCTGGGGGTCAAATCCAGGTCTTCTGATTCCAAAATCACAGTAAAGAAAGGCAATAAGCATTCATTAAGCACTTACTGTGTTCCAGGCAATGTGTTAAGCCCCAGGGTACAAGTATAAGCAGGCACTGCTCTTTTTTTGTTGTTTCTGTCATGTCCAACTCTCCATGACCCCATTTTCTTGTCAAAGATGCTGGAGTGGTTTGCCATGTCCTTCTCCAGCTCATTTTACAGATGAGGAAACTGAGGCAAGCAGGGTGCAGTGACTTGCCCAGGATCAGGCAACTAATAAGTGTCTGAGGCTAGATTTGAACCCTGGAAATTCAGTCTGCTGACTCCAGGCCAGCACTCTATTCACAGTACCACCTAGCTCTTTCTTTAAGATGTAAAATAAAGTGTAGGTTTGGCAGGCCAAAGGATTGTAAGGATTTAGGTTAGAAGGGAGCCTAGGGATGATCCACTCCAAAATTAGCATTTTTCAGAGGGCGAAACTGAAGTCCAAGGAGGGGAAATGTTCGGGCACCACCGCTGCGGGGCATCTGGGCATCCTGGAAGACAAATCTAACTTGTGCCTCAGTGGTACGGATTACCAGTCAGTGGCCAATGATCACATAAATCCGACTTGCCCAACAGATTTATTTTATAGTATGGCTAAAATGAAAATAACATGAGACTGACCCTTTGACCATCTAATCGCTCTACTCAAGAACCTCCCATGTCTCACTATTGCATCCAAGATGAAGCACAAGCTTTTTGGCCTGGCACTTGACATCCCTCGTTGCCTATATAGGCTAATTTCACATCACTGCCCTTCTGAAGTCCAGCCAGACGGATCTATTTGGTGGTCCCTGAACGCTGCATGCCTTTCTCCAGATCCCAAACTTCGGTAAGCTCTCTAGCTCTTGAAGGAACTTAGAGGTCATCTACTCTAGTCCGCCACTTTCCAGCTGAGGAGACAAGCCCAGAGCGATAAAACCACAAGCCTGTCAAGTGTCTAACTCTGGGCGTACAAATGCAACGCAAAGCACTAGAAATGTGAATTCGGCAGAATGAGAATTTGAACCCAGGTCCCTGGATTCCAAAGCCGGTTTCCTTGCTATCCTCTGATGATTAGTAACTAAATCATTGATTTCAAGACAGAAGGGATCTTAAGAGTCATCTGGTCCAATTTCCCCATTTGGCCAAGAAGTAAAGCCCATTGTCATATAAATAGGAATAGGATTTGAGTTCAGCTTTTTAACTCCCAGTTCAACGCTCTATGCACTACAGCCCGTTGGGCTCACTGGCTTAATTAAGGACTATATAGGACAGCATGAAGGCAGTAGAAAGAACACTGAGGTCGAAGAAAAAACTGAATTTTGGGAATGAATTATGGGTTTGGAAACTAACCACATGTGGGGCTTTAGCTGCAGCCACGAGAACAGAATTCTGGATCTGGAGTCCGGAAGACCTCAGTTCAAATCCAACATCAGATACCGAACTCCAGGGCCAAGTCACTCTGTCTGCCTTAGTTTCCTCATCTCTAAAATGGGCATCATATCACCTACCTCCCAGGATTATGATGAGCATGAAATGAATTAATATTTGTGAAGCATTGTCCTAAGGCACTATGCTATTATTATTAGGCACGTCTCTGCTTATTTATAACATGGGGAGGCTGGATTGTAATATTTAAGGTCCCTTCCAGCTTTAAAAATCCTGTGACTAGATAGGGCTATATGCTCCCAGGAAGAGAGATGGACTTCTTGGAGCACAAAAACAAGGTGCACTACTGCTTATCGGTTTGGACCTACTGGTGTTCAAGAACCTAGGACCACACGTTCTACTTTTTCACCATCGATACATCCCCCAAGAAGTCTAAGGGAGAAATTCTTCAGCGCTCCTCAGATTCCCCCATAGTCGTATAGAGACGGCCAGTGTGTCTCTTCCCTTCCCTTCATCCTCCCAATCCTCAGAATGTTTGGGGTGCCACTTTTCACTTGGCACGACAACGTGTGGCATGGTGGGAGGATCAGTGGACTTGAATCCTGGATAAGGTGCTTCCTAGCTGGAAGTCACATAACTGGAAGCTGAGCCTCAGTTTCCTCCTGTGTAAAACAGGGATAAGAATATTTACACTGACTAACTTATAAGGTGGCTGTCAGAAAAGGGATTTGTGAACTTTGAGGTGCCATAGGAAACAAGCTGTTATTATCATCACCACTCAGACCATTCAGTCTCAAAAACACTTAATTCCTGTGGCCAAGGTGGTGTAATGGATTATGTGCTGGTCCTGCTGTCAGTTACCCTGGGTTCATACGATTGCACACAAGTCATAACCTCTCAGAGTCCAGTTTCCTTGTTTATAAATGGGATTAATACACTACCCACCTCACTTGGCTGTCCTAAGGAAAACTGTTTGCCAACCTCATGCAGGGTAGCATGTTGCATAGCAGAGACAGGAATGAGGAGGAAAGGGATTGGAGTGGAAGGCAATATCTCCATGCAGAGTTGTTTTGAAGGACCATTTTGCTTTTTATCTTTCTCACTCCTTTTTCATTTGCAGGCGAAACCAAAAGACCCCACAGTTGTGAAAATAAGGTGGGAACCGGATGGTCATAGTACCCAGCCAGTCCTTGGTAGCTGGTTAAAAACATAGACCCCAAAATGATTCAGAAGGAGTGCAGTTTGGCAATCAGAAATTAAGCAAGAATTAAGAGGATTTTTTCTAACACAAATTTGGATAGAAGGCCAGGTCAGCGACGTTGTGATAGACTGTAAGCTCCTGGAAGGCAGGGACAATAACCCCAGGGCTGCTGTGCCTGGTACATAGTATAAGCTTATTAATAAATGAACAAATACTTACTAATTTATTCATTAGATTACCCCTAGTGAGCAAGAAGAAGAGGTTCAGACACAGATCAAATTACTTATGGGGCTTGCTACTCTGTTCCGAAAGAATATGGCCTCTGGAGGAAAAGACTCTTCTTCTAGAGGGGAAAAAGCCAATTACAACTAAAGCTATGTAGCTAAAAGACTCTCTTTGTAGGAAGAATAGCAACTAAGAG